GTGAATCTAGTATACGAGTATACAACTAATATGTACAACACATTATTAAACATAACTGAAGAATTGACTGGTTTGTACCAATTCATCAAACTTTTTAGACCTTTACACAAATAGTTGGTCAGACTCATTGTTTACTTTTCCTAGATGGTATACATAGATTATACACATATTGTACATGAGTTATACATATATTATATCATTTCTGACTATTTTCAGTTTAAGTTGTTGGGTGAATGACTATTTAGTTTAACACTTCAATTTTTCAAACTATGGTAAGTTTCACTCACAAGACAAGCAAGGTCAAAAGTTCAAAACCAGCCGTTGTCAAAATGAACCAAACAGGATATTTCATTGGAAACAAACTTCTTGCATAACTGAATATACAAAGCTTAAATTAAAATCAACATTGCATTTTTGATAACACACAAAAGAAAACATTGTTGAAGACTTCTTCTTTCTTCTTTGTTCTAAGCATAGTCTTCTGAGGTTGGAAGTGGGGTGTGGGATCCAATGAAAACATCTCCATAAATAAACCCAGCCAATCCTCCACCAATGAGTGGTCCGACCCAGTAAATCCAGTTCTGAGAAAAGTCTCCAGCAACGACAGCTGGCCCAAATGATCGTGCTGGGTTCATTGACCCACCACTGAATGGGCCAGCTGCCAAAATGTTGGCACCAACAATGAACCCAATTGCAATGGGTGCAATGGTTCCAAGTGAGCCCTTTTTGGGATCTGCTGCTGTGGCATAAACAGTGTAGACAAGTGCAAAGGTAATGACTATTTCCATAACTACTCCCTCAGCTCCACTCATCCCAGCAGCAACTCCATGAGTTGGAACAGCCTGCAAAAATCCAATAACGAACCCGTTTGGTTAGCCAATTAAAAGTAGCTGAAAAATTGATCCTGATTTGATCAGCTTGTAAGCTTAGTACAACACGGTCGCCCAACCTCTAATTAGACTAATAATAGGATTTAATTAACTTAATAGTATGTTAATAGTGAAACAACATACCAAACCATTAGTGACATATTTAAGGAGGAGGCAAGCAACTGTGGAGCCAAGTAATTGGGCAACCCAGTAGAATAAGCCAGTCAAGATGGTGATGTTTCCACCAACAGCCAATCCCAAAGTGACAGCTGGATTTAAATGTCCACCTGAGATATTGGCTGCCATGGAAACCCCAACAAACAATGCAAATGCATGAGCCACAGCTATTGCTACTAGACCAGCTGGGTCAAGTGCTGCATCTGAAGTCAACTTATCTGCAAAAAGAAAAAAGAAAAAATTGCATTAGTACTATATATTCTGACAAAGATTGTCTCCATGTGATCAAATTTGTCACACGTTCAAGTCGTGAAAATAACATTTTATAGAAATGCACAAATATATAATTTATATATAATATGTGTATAACGTTGAGAAAATGTGACGTACTATAAGCTATAGCAGATCCAACACCAGCAAATACAAAGAGTAGAGTGGCAATAAACTCAGCTAAGTAGGCCTTCAATGATCCAACACTTAAAGAGTCACCAATGCTACCAAAGGCAATCTTCACCATTTTTTTTGGCTCTCACTAAAGAATGTAGCTAAATTAAAGAAAGTTCAATTTTAAGTCACTTGCAAATTGGCTTTTGCTTAAAACTTGATGGTTCTCATAGTTTCACATAAACTCTCTTTATATATCCATAGTAGACTTGGAAAAAAAATAGTAGTAATGTGTTAGGTTTTGCCGACCATGGGGCCCTATTTTTAGTAGACTCCGGCAAATGATTGGCGCCGTCCAACCGCCCATACGCTTTTTTTGATTTATATTCATTACATTATAGTACATATTAATGGTTTCATTGAAACGTCTAAGGGTGTGTTTGACTGAATGAAAATATTTATTGAATTTTTTGGTGTTTGGTACTAATGAAAATATTTATTGAATTTTTTGGTGTTTGATAAATAAATACAGAAGACATTATCTTTATATAATCTGGTTAAATTTAGGTAGATTTGGAATTTAAAATTTATGAATTTCTCTCCTGTGTGGTTTGCGAGTTATTGCATAGGAGCGAAGTTTTACCCTGTGCGCACCCAAAGGGTAGCGGCTGTGGGTTTCCCTTGTCATAAGAAAAAAAAAATTATGAATTTCTATAATAATCGCAAGTTAATATACGATAATAGTTGTTTACAATGAAATTTTTATAAATATTTAATTTATTTTTAAATAATGGGTTTGTACAAAAGTTATTACTTCTCAAGAAACTACACAATTAGTGATAGATCCGTCACCGTAGGCAAACATTATGAGGGTTGGGGGTGAGGGTGTGGAGTTGGGGGCTATAGAGTTGGGTGTGGGATGGAGAGGAGTGGAATGTCAATTAGGAAACTTTTTTTTCATACTCGAAGTCAGTTTTCTCATTTTAAAGAAATTTGTTTTAAGAGAAAAATGTTATATAAATTTTTGACTGATTAAACATAAAAAGAAATTTGAAAAATATTTTTCTTACCAAACACACCCTAAGTTATATTTCATTGTAATGAACATTCAAGAAATGAATTTAAAAAACTATGTTTAGATAAGCTCAACCAATACAACATTTAAAAAGTGATAATTTTTTTTAATTAAGAAGGAAAAAAAAAAGAGAAGAAAAGGTAAGCTCCACTAACGTATAAAACTAGATGTCTGATGTCAAGAACAATTTTATTTTCATATTTAGAAAAACTAAAATGACGTTCCAGCACATAAAAATCATTACATTAGTGTTAATCATGATCATGATAATTATAATGAAGTTTTATGTATAATGAGGTTGTGTTTGGTATGGTTGTAAAATATTTACTAAAAATTGTTCATTTTTACGCACCACAAATAGTATAAGTCACTATTGTAATAGCCGACCATATATTAAAAAATGATATAGAAAAATATTAATGCGTATAAGATAATATTTTATTTTTAAAAAAATATTTTATATCACATCAACTACTCACGAGTGTTTAAAAAACGAAAAGAAAAAAAGGTTACATTTTGTGTGAGAAGTTCTTGCAAATTGGACTCTCAATGGTGTTTCATAAGCTCGGGATGGATCTGATTTTAACGTCATGTAAAAATATGGTATCTAGGTTTAACTTAATCACAAAAGCTAGCTCACGAGGAAAAAAATTTCAAGTCCATATAAGCAGACCGTCAGTTTATTCCTCAACCAATGTGAAACTTTTACCCCTCTAACTTTAAATTACATTACATTGTATTGGTATTTAAGAAATGAATTTTTAAAATACTATTTAGATAAGCTTAATTAATGGAGTACAAAATTTAAAAAGTGATCCTCCCATTTTTTTAGAGGAAAAAAATAAGAGGAGAAGAAAAGGTAAACTCCAGAATAGTACAAGTACTAGATGTTGTCATGAGCGGAAAAAAAAAAACGATTTCCTCTTTAGAATAACTAAAATGACGTGCCAAGGTGCAAGAGAATCATGATAATATTTATGTTGATGATTATGATAATGATAATTTAATTTAAGTATAATGATGGATGTGCTTGGAATAGTTCCCAATTCTTAACCAATTATTATTCTCTTTAATAAATTATTGTCTACTGTTTGATTATCTTAAACTTTTGAAAATGATACCTAGGGTGGGTTTGGTATCGAGGAATTTTTTTTTCGAAAAATAAATTGTTTTTACTAATTTATTAAATATTTGGTAAATAAAAAAAATATTATTTCAAAAATACTTATATGTAATCTAGAAAAATTATGGGGATGGGTGAGAAAGAGGGTTCGAGGGTTCATGGGTTGGATGAGTCGGAGGAGATAATTAATTTAGAATTTCATTTATGAAACTTATTTCCTTTACCTTCATTAGGAAAGTCATTTTTCTTATTTTATTGAAACTTGTTTCCCTAAAAAAATATTTTCCAAAACATTTTGACTACCAAACATGGAAAAGTTGAACCCTCTGGGTGGCTCAGATGGTTTGACTTCAAACTTTCATAAGGGAGATCTCAAATTCAAAATTCCTTATCTGCAAAAATAGGGATTAACCTTCTAATCGAGCTTATTACATGAGGCCTAATGTGTCGATTCTCTCGTCATAAAAAAACATGAAAAAGTAAAAATTACTTTCAACTTTTACTATAAATTATTACCAAAATATCACCCTGGTACAGTGGTACCTCAACCCCCACCGTCCGCTAATATTATAAGTTGCATGGCATAGAAAATAATAATTCAAGATAAATACTTTTTTTAAAAAATTTACTCATAAGGTAAGACTTGATATATGTATTGCGTACATCTTTTTTGTTTTTTTGGTTACAAGTTTGTGTGGCAGGTATTGGATTAGTGCAGTACCATTTTATTTTTTTTAATCAAAAAAATATAATTTTTAGCTCTTCAAGAAGTTAAAATGTTTTTCCAAAGCTCGTATTTTATCTGGTTTTTCAAACAAGATGAAAGATCTTTTTCATAAACATTTTTTAAATGAAAAGGTAAACGATTTTATTTAGAAAGTGCAAGTCAAACCCATCCTATAGCAATATTGTTTGTCCCTACAATTTTTTGTTACTATATTGAAATGTTATTATAGAAAACATATAACATAGCCTGAAAAATATTGTCGTTATCGAAATGTCTGACTGTAATGTTATTGTAGAAAACATATAACCTGAAAAATATTGTCATTATCGAGATGTCTGACTGTACAAAGAAGGTATACATTAGCAATTTTTTTTCTGCAAGTAACCAAGGAGGGCAATAGCTTTCAAATGATTCTGCTCAACCCACATACATATCTACAAAGCTATCATGTCTAGTGTTTGATATTTCTAGTCTACATTTATTATAGAGATGAAATGAAAATTGGGAATGGAAGTTTTCATAATTTACTTTTCCTGGGGTGTTGGAACATTGGATGGTGTATTGAGAAGTTAAAAACAACCCGAATACAAAGGTAAAAACAGTAGTAACTGCGTTTCTTCTCTTTTTTCTCTCTTTTTTGCTGTATACATATCTTACAGAAAAGTATATTAACAATTGCAGCACATCAAAAATCGCTTTCTAGAGAAACAGCGGTGAACCAAAAACACGAAATCTGGACAATGACAGTGTCAAGTGCAGGGATTCAGTCCCTCAAGTTCTGCCAAAAGAAGGCACTTAAATACAGTGTCAAAATGACAATGGTACAACACTTACCCAAGTAACTTACATAGTCAGATCAACGATTCACTCATTCTGTAGGCTTGTGGCTTGAGTGCACTTCGCGCACAGGTCTGAAACTTCAGGGAGTATATTCCCTGCCCCCCTACCCTCCTCCAAATATAAATAATATGCCTTTTGCTTGACATGGTTCAAGTCCATGACGTGTTGCGTCTTTACAATTGAACTAATTCTCCAGGTCCTAGGGGTCTCTTATAATAATATCTTTATCTGTCCTGTCAAATTTCCTCCACTAATACAGTTTCTGCAAGATCTTATCATCAAGGTCGCTGCTATTGCGTATGTACCTATATCTTGAATCCAGAAGACTTGGATTTGCACTGGGAGTATGATTGTTGTATTTTTCTATGAAATTTGAATGATTGAATGGTGTCTTACAGATACACGAGGATGGATATTCATGAAACTCTCCACGGCCCAGTCTCACTTCCTCAGGTTCACCCATGAATCCGCTTTGGCATGATTTCACCTTTCTAGAGAATGTGTCCCAGTCCATCTTATTTCGAGCCTGGAACAAAGCACTGAGTCTTTTGGCATTTGGTCTGATGGTCCTCTTGTGCCCCATGTACCTCCTATGGTATGACCAAGAAAACAATTAGCTTAATTGTGAAAAAAAGAAGATAGGAACAGGAATCGAAACTATTTGTAATGAAGTTACAATTTACAAATTTCTGAGTTGCCACTATATATCATTGTGAAAAGACCAGCTCTTAACTCGTAGTCCATTTGCATACTAACAGACGTTGAAATTGAACACTTACAGTTCCAGTATTAACCTATTTCCAAAGAAATAGGCCGGAGTTTAAATCACATCTAATCTGAAAGTACTAAGAATCAGCAAACTTGATCTCCATATTGGTTGCTAAGTTTAAACAACCTTTTTACCCTCTCCAGACCTTACTTGTGGCATCACACTTGGTATGTTGTGGCAGGGGTGGTGGACCTTCAGTACAATGCGCTTTAGGATCTTAATTTGTTTCTCCTTTTTGCTTAATGTAGTAGTTCAATAAATTAGACACATGCACCATTAAGCATGAAAAACATGTCCCCAATGAACAAATATTAGATCAGATATGTGAAAGTGCTAAAAAGAAAAACAAGTGAAAATCCTCACCTACTACCAGCAAGGATCTTAGCCATGTTCCCATTATTGTTGGTTACAAAGACATCACTTTCATCACACACAACATAGTCGATTGCTGCAAGACGAGAAGAGTAGGGAAGAAAAGGTTTCAGCTCATCACCAGCAACTATCTCTTTGGTATAGAAGTTTGGGAACAGCTCCTTTAGTGGCTGCAGAGTTTTTTCTCCACCATATACTTCACCGGATGCAACATAAAGATATGTGTCATTTTTGAATCCAAGCGCCCGCAGCATAAGTCCAACTTCATGGGGTGTTAAGGGGCATCTTCCTCGTGTTCGCTCTTCATCAGGGATCAGCTCCTGAAGCCACAAGTGATAGAACATCTGTTATCAAAAAGTATGGAGAGGTTTTCTGAGGGGGAGGGGCGCTACCAGTCTGCACTCCACTCTTGTTTTTGAAGTAATATGATTACTTATATTAAGCATATAATAATAAGACCCACATTTAGTGGTATTGGCTATTCATACAACTTTAATTGAGTGGATATTTCTTTTACAAACGGAACAACAAAGATATAGGTGTAAAACAATCATTCATTAATCCTGTAAATACCACACAACATCTGTCCAAGTTACTCTTAACAAAATAAGGCATTATAAAACCCAGTACCCTCTAACTGTGTAATACTCACATAGAATAACGAAGAACAATGTGCCGCAAACAGTTGCTCAGCAAGACAGATTAACAAAGTTCACTGGTATGGCAATAAACTGACAATTCTAGAATCCCAGATTGACACCATAGTACACAAAATGAGTAGGCCACCCTTCCCCACCCTAGGGGGAAGATTAAGCTCTGGCCTTCGCATTTCTGGGAAAACTATTTCTTCAGAAGTCCCACTTCTTATTATATTTAACACTTACAAGCTCTAATATGATAAAGGAAAAGTCGATTAAATTGCTGAATAGTAAGTACAAAGTCATAATTCTTTAAGGAAAGAAATCCTACAGGTAAAGTAGCCCATCTTTTTCTTATCTCAGCCAGTTCATTTCTTTCCTTGTCACCCCCGCCGTAGTAGCACCCAGAAAATGCTAGCATATCAGGTTCAAACCTGAAATATAAATACATCAGAGCAACAAATAGAAAGTGCCAATGGAAAGCATAAATGTAAAAGGAGTTATCCTGGGTAATGGACATGTATAAGGAATAACATCAGAAAGATTTGAAATTCTATGTTACCGAAGGAAAAAAGGTACAAATTGTAATTTAAACACACATCTAATGCTTACTTAGCTAGCACAGATATTTGAGTATTATGAAGCTATGTTGCTCAGACTCTCCAAAAATATTGCCGCACCCATGTCAAATCCTTCTAAAATGCACTACTTTTGGAGGATCCGACAGTCACCCGTCGACATTTTTGAAGAGTTTGAGCAACATAGCTATGATTTATGAAGTATGAAGGTCAAAATAGTTATGAAGTATGAAGGTTAAGCTTATCAGTTTCAAAAAAAAAAGTATGAAGGTCAAAATATAGCTTTTTTCCTTTCAACAAAAGAAAACATGGATTTTGCTGCTCACTCTACATCTGTCCAAGTTCTCATTACCAGGAATGTGTTCTATTATCCCCATAGATTGTGTTATATTATCCCCAGAACACACAAACTTGACCTCATGCTGATATGCACTTCTTAAAATTATGAATAGAGCCTGAAGGATCACTGACAGGAAACTGTACAGCATTTTGAGATTCTTTTTATGAATAAGATTATTCAGAATATTAAGCCGACCAACATAGGAAAATCATCAGTTTCTTTTCTTCTAAGCTTCAAATGTAAACAAATGGGATTGTCCATTCTTTCGGTTAGGTACAAGGAAATTTAGCCAATACAGCCCCTTGTTCCTGTAATCATTTTTTGGTTGCTACTGCCATCATAAAGCAGAATTGGAACTTTAACCACAAAAAAAGGCGGATTTGAGGGAAAAGAAAGTATCTCCTGTTCTGACATCATATCAAGAACAAAATCCTAAAAGTTGCAGCACTAATTTTCAGTTCCAAAATTCTGGCTTTGCTTTGAAAAATTGCTAAGCAGAGTTAAAGAAACCAAATTTTAATTTCGCAACACTGCAAGTCAAACAAACCTCAAATGAACTGCAACGAAACGTCTTGCCATTTTTCGCATACGCACTACAAGTTTCTGACCAAAATTCCTTATGGGCTTAGTAAATCTTAAAGCATGATAATTCACACGGCAACGCAATTTTTGTAGCTCCTCGTCAAGGTCATTAGCAAGCCGAAAATCAAATTTTGTCAACTGAAGAACCTGCACACAATTTGGAGGTCAAACATCAATAAAACCTGAGCATAAACATCTACTTTTTACTATCAAGTTTTGACTTGTATACTCTATGATAATAAAATGTTAAATTGTGTGTACCATGAACCGTACCATTTCACTTCTTGAAGTCGTTAATATATACTGAAGGACATCTAAAACAAGGAAAGCTCCAGTAAAATTTAAATAACATTTACAAGATTGTGTCAATCCGTAAAATTCATAGTTGGTGACAAGTATGATACACATTTATAAAAATGGATTTGAGACTATAATTGAGGAAATTTGGTTGATTGCTAAACGTGCTTTCTAAGTTTGGTAAAACATATATTACATGCATTTCAATGTTCCTGATAAATTTTCCACCCAGTTTTTGCCTCTTTCACTCCCTCAATTACCAAGGAAACAAATTATCGTCCATTCCAGAATACCATTATCCATACAGACCTATATAAACATCACAAAATGTCATGATCATGTAAATTTATGACCTCAACACAAGCCATCTGATATAGCTTTTAGAACAAGAGATAAATGCTCCAACTGTACCATGATATAGCTATTCCCAGAGAAAACATAGAAATGACTTACTCGCCAGAACAATGATTTCCAAACAGATTTATATGTGCCATATTTGATATTACATCTCTGAGATTGAGAATAGATACACCAAACATGTGCTCAAGTTAATTTCTAGGAAAGTAAAGAAGTGAGAATCCTGAAACAAAACATAACTTAGGTTTCGGCGACTTGACTGCCTAAACAGCTAATTGAATAAGAGATCCAGAAGAGTGATCACATTCCCTTCAAGTTCACTTATAGTTTTCTGGAAAATATGAGGTTTGAGATAGAAAACCAGCTAGTATAGGTGTGTAAATGATTGCAAATATGATTAAAAAAACAGATTCAACTGTTCTGCTTTTCTTTTACTTACACGTCTCTTTAAGAGTACTGGCAATACTTGGTCCACGTAATATTCAGGTTCTGATTTTCTAGGAACGCGCATGGTATATGGAGGTTTTCCCATTAACCTCATGACCTTCTCTGGAACTCTTTTAACAACAGTGACATCCTTCGCAAGGTAAGAGATGAACCATTTAACATCAAAGATGTCGAAAAAATCACTGCAGGATAACAGGATATCTCAGTGAAAGAGAAAGAGAGAGATAGAGTCAAACTTGCTTCTGTTATTACGATCCACTATAAACTTATGCAACAGACAGGCTCCTCAAAATAAGTACAAAATGCCCACCAACCTGTCATCCTTCCAAAATGAATGATGATCCAACTCAGGTACGACTAAAGTGGCATTAAGAATCCGCGCTACAACTACAGCATCAGTTATCTGGTAAGCACAAGATAGACTCCAAATGTTAGACTATTATGATACAGATATTAAATGAGCAAACATAAACTGTTTGAGAGATACAAAAGATCAGTTGATGGATGATATCAAGTCAAGAACAGCATACTTACTCCAGTCCTTTGTTGGTTGAGTCCTCCGCTAGTTGCAATAAGTAGATATCCATTTGAAGATCGCACATTCACAGCAGCTACATTTCATTTGAGAAAAGTTACAGACCAAGGTATTCTCAGTAAAATTTGAAGTCTACCAGAATTATGAGATACAGAAGAATAAAAGTGAAGTTCAAAGCTAAATAGGCAGGAGAAAGCCTTTTGGCAATTATCACAATGACCAATTGCAAGTGCACATCAAATTTTTGAAAAACTATGTTTTAACTCCTATTTGTATCACATATCAAACAAGGCAATACAGTATAATCCAATGCAATGGCAGACCTTAACAATATTTTATTCACTTCTACATATCTATGAGGATGACATGTGACAATAAGGCTACTCTCTACTTTAACAAACCGATGGGACATGAGATAAGACTAAGATTATAAATTAGACAAAACACATTAGAACAGGCAATGCAGCAAATCTCCTTTTCATTTACCTTCTTTTCGCCTTCTTGTTGGAAAGAGAAATAAATCAAGATTACAAAGGATCAAATCAGACTACAGGTGCAAGTAGCATATATAGAGAAAGAAAATGAGAGAAACTCGCTTAAGATAGTGTAGTTATGTCCAATGTACACATACAAACGCACTGCTGTCCGTGCAACACAATGATTATTGAAGATGTTAAAGGGAATGTGGTAGACCTAAAATTATATAGAAATAAGTTATCTAAATTGACCTACAATTTCCGCGGAATTCTTGTGGACTTAACGAAGACGGATCACAACAAAAGCAAAGTATACGTACAAGAAAAAAAAGAAACAAACTAGCTGGAGATATAGATAGTTGTTAATGGCACACTTGCATCAGGTCCTGTGTATGACTATAATATTTTAAGCATGGTTAGAGATTGTACGATATGTACATATAGTCGTGCAATTTAGGGATCCCTAGTTTAAGAGAATGTTTGACTTGTCATAAAAGACAAATTATTGAGTAGCGGAATACGCGCCCAAATGGAGCGGAGCAATGTAGACAATTCATACAGACGGCCTCAACTAGTTTGGGATAGAGGCAGAGAAGTTGATGTTGTTGTCTCTTGCTAGAACAAGCATAACATTTTGGTAATCAAGAAACTGCTTGATGACTTGTCACTTATGACCCTTACAACTTAATGATCACAAGGCTGGACTTTGGAATACCATTTTGTGTATCATATGGCTTGCAAGAAATTAGCCGTTGGAGGTAATAAGTTTAGCTTGGTTTATAAATGTCATCGGCTCATCCAAGTAATATATGAAATCCATATGTGGTGTAAGATGCAATGATTAGCCAATGGAACAGGCACAAGAAAAGACCAAAGTATGAATAGTTGCAGCCCCATGAAAAACCATTTGTTTGAGTTGTTAGTGGAACATGGACACAAAGTCAAATACGCAGTTTCAAGTTATACTAATTCTGCGGCACACACAGTTTGAGGAAAATGCAGCAGTCCAGTAATTCGGTTTATATGAATCTATGAATGCAGTCATTTAGAGACTGCTGAGTTCAGACCAACTGTAATTGATTAACTGCTACATATGTGTGCGTCCTTGAATAAGGATACTTTTATTCATAAATTAGCTACATACATGCAACATATTTTAATAGAAATTTATCATTTGTTGACAATTTTTACCTGCTTTCTCAGTGTCAGGTGTGGCATTCTCCCAGTTAACGTTACACGCAGGTTTTGTTCTAGACCCAGTAAGAGCAGCAAACTACTAACGAACCCCCCTCCTCCCTCCCTCCATCTCTTGTTCTAGATTCCAGATTGGGGCATGACGGGGTTTGTTTAGACATCTTGATCACCAACTTAACCAGGCTTCCATATCTACACTTCAATAGCAATATTAGACACAACCTTGAGTTCAAATTCACCAACTTAAGAAACAGGACTTTTCTTTATGCTTTAGCCAGGCAGTTGAAGGGAAAGGTAGGGGAGTCATGGTCAAAGACGAAAAAGGACTACTTCCTTTAGGGAATAAAAAAGTGTGGGAAACAAAAGTGAAAATGTTATCCTGAGAAGTTGGATGCTGGCAGGCTCACTCTCGTCCTTCCCATGCCAAATAATATGAAACAAAGGCTTTTATCAAAATAATAAGAAACAAAGGGTATATTCTTCTGGCATGGAGAAACCAATTTTCTCCCTGACCTCTTCTCACTCAATTCTTCAATCAGACATACTCTACTTTTTATCTACATGTCAGTAGATCATATGATTACATAATCGTTAAGATCATAATGTAAGATGTAAATAACCAATTTACATAACCCCTTTAAGATGTCCAAAGCATCGAAATCGAAAACTCTAAGCCCTAACTTTCAGATTATGAAAAAACAAAATAGCATTGCCTAAACACAATACATGATATGAGTGACAACATCATAAACGGTTAGGACAGTAAATATCTGAAAGAAACCACGCAAAAGCATTTATGTTATACGTACAAGCAAAGCGAGGGCCTCTCTCACTGCATCCATAGTAAGAAGTTGAATACCTTGACTTCCAAATATCAATTGGTGCGTCCCCATCCTAAAATATATCAAGTAACAGAACACGTGATGCTTCAAAATACCTGGATAGGCAAAGCAAAAACTAATATTTCAACTTCATAGCCGCTACTGTTGGAGCCAGAAACTTTAGTTTTTCCTACAAACTTCGGTCAGATTGCAAGGAACCGTTAAAACTCATTCATTACTGAGTCATCCGACAGAAAAAAAGCATTCCATTACTCACCAGAAAATTTATAACATGGGATTCTGAATTCTCTCTTGGAATTCTAACCATTCCAAAAAGCAAAAAGCGAGTTGAAAGTGAATTTAAACTGTTCAACAGAGTTTACATACAATTCACTCTTTTTTTGAAATTCTTAAACATCAAATTTGGCACTCAAGAAAAATAAAAATGGGGGAGTTCTTTCTACAAAATACTTGGAGATGCCTTTGGTGCCAAGAACAAATGAAAAGAAATCTGGAATGAGGTTATAGAGAGGTATGATAAAAATTGTCAAGGTGGAAAACTCAGTACCTATCCTTAGGTGGTAGACTAACTCTTATTAACTTTGCATAAGGTGCCTTCCTACTTATATGATGTCCGTCTTCCCATTACCTGGGGGTAGAAAAAAGGATTGACAGATTGAGGAGAAATTTCCTTTAGCAAGATAACAAGGAGAATTGAAGCATTAATCTTGTACGAAGGAATGTTCTGACTCTAAGTAAGATCGGGGTGGTCTAGGCATAAAGAACCTGAGGCTACATAATAGAAGTCTTCTACATAATGGCTCTGGAGGTTCAACACAGTTTGTAAAGGTTTCAACATAGCACCTTTTGGATGCTAAGTTTTACTGTTAATGCAATTGTTACCTTATTCAAAAAAAAAAGATGTCTACACCAAAAAACTTGCTATTGAATTGATAAAATAGATACTAGATACTAAACTTTATAGTAGCAAAAATCCGACAAATATATCTATGAAAACTTCAGCACACATGGCTATACTCAAAGGAGACAATAGAGCCACCATAACATGCCAATGCATAATTTTAATCCAATGAGAGTAGAGAAGCAATGCATCTACTTAAACTACTACTTTGTGACAGTAAGAACTACTTTTAAACAAGATAATGTGAGAACTTGTTATAGATTTATACATGTTGGTGTATTTTAATACTGCTTAACATTCAATGCGTAAGTTCAAGTCAAGAGCTTTGGGTGCGACCCTGCCAGCTCCGCGAATATTACTCCATCCCAATTTATGTACTTATTTTTTTTCCTTTTGGGAATGTCCCAACATGTTTGACACTATCCCATTTCTACACAACCTTCAAGAATTAAAATCCATTAATCTATTCAAAAGCCATGTAATGTTTCCTCTATCAAACTAAACTTTCAAATTTAATATTTTTCCACTATTACTAATATAATATGTAAGTCAAATTAACACTCTGTGCTACCTACCAATCCATTCCAGGATGTAAGGACTAAGGAGTACATTGTACTTACTCTCTGTTTCCCCTAAGAATACCCTCTCACAAACATGAAGAGAATGGCAACACAGCAGCAGTAACTTTTCTTCATTACCAAAAAATCGAACTTTGTCGAAAACATAGTCAGAACAAGGTCAAATCAGCCATTCTGTTTATGCCAAGAGTTCTAATTACCTGTTTGTAAAACCAAGCACCTTTGGCGAGTCTCTGAGAGTACAATTCAAGATTGGATGCAACATAACCGGTGAAGAGGGAAATCAAACCTAAGGCAAACAGCATGAACCCACAAACTTTGGTACATGAGATCGGTCGCCTCCATAACCAACAGCTAAAGAAGAAATGCTGCTTCTGGGTATTAGCCAATACCCCACAACTATACCTCCACACTTTCGCCACACCCATATCTACAGCTACTTAATTTTGATTTTCTGATACCCTTTTGCTCTCATATTACCATACTAACATCAACCCACTACAGGGAATGGACAATTAATCAGTATCACATACAAAAAGAAGCTGTCCCCACCACTCTGCTGTCTATATAAATGGTGTTGGCCGTCCAAGAGCCATTAAAAACGATTGAATTCACTCCTTCTGCAAATCCTTTTTTGCCCAGTTCAAATCCGGGTAGACTGATCAATAAAAAAAAAACTCAAAATCAATTCTTTACGTCTGTTGAATGTTGAATAATTTTCCAGCAGAAGCAGAGGAGCGGGTTTCACAAATCTAGCAGACTGTGGAGTGTTCTCAAATTTGGAGTCATGAGTGTGATAGCTTTTTCTCTGATGTCTTAAAAAAATAAAAACATTATGACTGTAGTTTTATGATTAATGAAAATGCTTCAAAATCATTATATTAAATGAAAAACTAGAGATTTGAGTTTTTGCAAAGATTTAATTTTATTTTTTCCTGATATAATCTTAGATGGTAGAGTGTGGAAGTCGTGTATGAAGATATAAGTTTAGTAGATAGTGAAGTGTTTGTTGTTGTATTGGTGTTATTCTTGTAGTTTTACTTTACGATATCTATTATTATCATATGTTTACTAGGTTTCAGCTGCTGCACTATTTTGTTGTTGTTCATATTGTCTTTTAGGCTTTATAATATCTCTCTTGTTAGTTGTTACGTTTTATTTTTCATCACTATTTTCCTCTTCTTTATTTCTAAAATTGCTACACAAAAGAAAATCCATAGACGATACCAATTGGGACTGTACCTTTCTATCTTCTTCTTTCTCTTTTCGTTCCCATCTGTCAAGGACCTATGTTTCAATAACGATGAAGGCTACTATACTAGAAGGGAAAGGACTTTATGGGCTCGTTTGGCGTGAGGGATAATACCAAATAGTCCCGGGATTAAATTATAGTACCGCTTATTTTGTTGTTTGGTTGGCAAGTTCGGGAAAACTTCTCCCGGGATTAATAATTAGTACCGGGATAAGTTATCCCTCTCCTTGGGTGGTATAGTAATCCCGAGTTAACTTATCCCGGAATAAAATAGGTAAATGACAAAAATGTCTCTTTCAACCCTTTTGTTATATCACTTTTTACATTAATGAAGGGCATTTTTGTAAACAAATAAATTGTTCTTAAAATTTATTATTTTAAATACAACAAACCAAACACTCAATAAAAAATAATCCCAACACAACTTATCCCATCATAATTAATCCCAACATAACTTATCCCAACATAACTTATCCCATCATAACTCATTTTCAAACCAAACGACCCCTATGAGTGATGGTTAGATTGGATGGCATAGTTGATCGATCGAACTACGGTGATTGGAATGAAGACAGAGAGACTTTTGTGTGAAAGATAGAACGTTAACTAAGAATTTTATTAAAAACAGTCTATCTACCTTTACGAGATTGTGATAATGTATGTGTGCACTTTATTCAGTATTCTCTGATAATTTCATTTGTGAGATTCTACTAGTATGTTATTGTTGTTATTTTACTTTTTTGCAATAAATACACCTACAAACAAGTTGGAAAAAAGATAGAATTTTTACTTGATTTTCTCGTTTTATTTTCAAACAAACGTATAAAGACAAAGACCTCTTCACTAGACAAAGACAAAAAATTTCTTTAACGAATACGAACACCCTAAGAAATTAATCAAGTCTTGTAATAATAATATACTCCCTCTGTCCAATAATAGTTGTCAACTATTGACTTGATACATCCTTAAGAAATAATAAATAATAGGGGTAATATTACAATTTTATCCTTTGACTTTATTAAATTTAATGTTGTGAGAAATATGTTAGATGATAAATAATATTTAATAATAAAGGTAAAATATACACAAAAGATAAATTATCTCTTAATTTTCTAAATTGGATAAGTATTGTTGGACAACTACCGTTAGACGGACTTGCACTAACTAATTTAGAATATTGAGTGTTTGGGTAGAATTAAAATGATGTTTTACTTCTTCCCTCCCTCCAATCTTCTACTACTCAATTTTTTTGGTCAACAATTTGTTAGCTATTTTGACTTTTCCTTGTTCTCCTTATTGTGTTATTTATTTCCACATTTACCCTCACAGCTTCATCATATGATTCTTGCACGAGATGGAATATTTTGAAAGCTGTTGATTTGAGGACCACTCAGATACCAACAAGTAAATGATAATTTTGGACCAAAAATCAATTTTAACCAAACTTTAGGAACTATATATATTTAGTTGAGCTAATTAAGAGTCAACACGTTTACAGCCAAAGATTTTAAGTCTAATAATTGTATTTTTATTTTGTTAGATGTGGGAAGAACAAGATTAATTTGAGGTCAAGAATTTCAATCATATAAATTATTAAAAAGATAGAAAATAATTTTTGTATACAATTTTGTTGAACATGTCAAGCGAGGGTGATTTATATAATGTATTAAACAGACTAATAGCAACACATTGTTCTAGAAAGGCATATTGAAAGGAATAGAAAAAAATAGAATGAAAAAAAATAGAATATGAAAGAGAAGTTAAAGAAATAAAAGAATATGAGATTCTATTTCTTTGAATCTGATGGTTGAAGATGGTCTAGTTCAATTTTTTTAGATTCGGATTCGACTTTTGAATCTTTCAATAATTAATCAATTTTACCTTTTGAATATGTATGACATATTCAAATGTATTTGAAGGAGAGGATAAAAAAATAAGAGGAAACAGAATCTAACACTTTTAGATATTTAATCGTGAGACACATTTAAAGAAAAATACTTCCTACGTGATTTTTTTTATACTCAAAAATCGAAATCAATACTCTAACCAAGGGCTACAATCTTACGCAATACGCTCACATCTCTTGCTCTATCAAATCAACCTTACTACACTCAAGTTCGTTAAGAAAATGCTAGATAAGAAAGAAAAGAGAGATTTGTCAAAGAATTCTTTTAATATTATTCAAAACTTGAATAAATTCACTTAATTAGTGATAAATGAATGTCCTCCTTTATGTACTAGTTTCCTAGGAGCTAGTATGCAGATAAATATTTCTGCAAATCCTTCATACTAACAAGATAATAAGTTTTCACTAGAATTCTTTAGAAGATAGAAAAATTTCAAAGACTTTATTAATAAATTCATCAGAATTTGGCGTCTTTCTCTAAAAAAAAATCAAAACTTTTCTACTAAATTCACAAGGATCTAATCTTTTAATAAAATTATAATTTTCTAAAATCATTTTCATAAGTAGTAGCCTCCCTACCCACATAAGTTTCGTGCATGGTAAAAATATCTCCAAAATAACATCTAAGTGGGACGATGAGGTGAAAAATCACACTATTTATGCTTTACTTCTAAAATTTTCCATGAGATTGATTTGGAGGCTTTGCTTTAGAACAAAGTTTGTGTAACAGAAAAAGGTAAACATGAGATTTTGACCTCACATTACTTAAACAACACTGTTTAATCTTTAGTTGTATAAAAGAAATCTTCTTTTTTATTGTGGGGTTTAGGGGTTTCAAATTTCTAATAAAGAATCTTTGGGACCTAATTAAAGGAGATACAGTACTAGTACATTAAACAAGCAACCACATGCAAATGCAATTAAAGAAAGGAATTACAGCAATAGAAACTTAAAATCCTTTTCTGACTGAATAGTATTTTCTTCGTTTCAAAATAATTTTTATAATTTTTTTTAAAAATTAAACAATATAAATTTTGATCAATGTTTCTAAATGCATATTTTTAACTATATTGATAAAAAAAAGTTACAAACTTATAATATATTTTTTATAAGATTACTGCATAACACATGAAGATATATAAAGAGAAGCTAATCACGGAAATCAGAGAAAAGTCAGCCATTCAATTCATCATTTATGAATTGTAATTTTTAATAACTAAAATGTGACGGACAACTACCTTAACAATTGCATGCCATTACCACTAGCTTTGCTCTTTATTTTGTTTTTTTTTTAAATTATTATTTTTTGAGTTTTTCATATGTTTACAAATAAATTTTTGATATGGTAATCATCTATCATTCTCTATAATAATTTAGTTAGAATTCATTAAAAGTGTAAAATATTTTTAAACTATGAACATAAAGCATATAAATAATATTCAAAGAAATATCAAAATTTAAAGATTATAAATTATTATAACGATCTAAAATATTATAATATACATATATATGATTTGAATATACATGTAACACTCTTCATCCCCAATACTAATAAATTTAAGAGTTCAATAAGTATTATTTTAATTAACTAGAAAAAGATAATGATCCAGCGCACATCAGAAATGAGCTTACGTGGCAAAATGGATCGATTTCTCACCTACATGGAGATACACGTGAGGCCTAATTTACCTCCGGACTTGTAAAAAGTATTTTTGATATTTTGTGTTTATTCGAAATATGTCTAAATACATGTATACCAGATTAATGTCCAAATTCATTTTTCCTAATTAAAAATCAGTCAAAGTCCGTTACTCCGAATTAAAAGTTAATCAATATAATTAATGTTAAAGCCATTTCTAATCTATATTCTTGCCCTTTTCTTTTTTTGGACACTCCATTCTTTTAATCACGAGTGCACATATTTCAAAGTGATCATATAACTTTAGGGAGCGATCAACCATAACAATTTCACATTTCTATCCATTCCAGACAGTGACTTGTCATGACACATAATAATTTATGATTTTAAAAAAAATATTATTTTGTTTCTGTTAAGTATCAATATCAGTATTGTATCTTTCTAACAATGTGTTATAGTAGTAATAGCTAAACAATACTGATAATATAATTATTTTTTTATACCATATATGTACTGTCTTTAGGCTTTTGAACCAATTGATGCTACAATTATGACAGAATGGAAAAAACATGTTGAAACAAAAAGTAAACAGTAGTGAGAAACAGAAAAGCAATGTGGTCAGTTAGATGTAGTTTCTAGTAGTCACATATGGAGAAGAACTACTATTACTAACTAAACCATAAAGGCAATCATGAGAGAGGAAAAAGCCAATTACACAATATATATAATTAAAAAAAATACACTATTAAAAGAAGCAAAAAATAGAAGAAGCTCAAAGAGCACAAGGCCCAGCTGTTAACACCAAAAGTACCATAAGTATATTTGCTGTATTTTCACAGACCAAACTGTTTTCTTTATCACAATTCACAAGCAACACTCATATGACCATACAACATATTCAAATGAGTATTTCTACATTCCTAAAAGAAGATGATTAAAACATAGAATTCATGCCAATTATTTGGTGAAATAAGTTGAATTACGCGCAAACTAATCGCAA